AGTCTTAAGTCATGCGCGTGATGAAATGGCTGACATCCAATGCAAACCAAAAAAATCTAAATTAAGGGCGGAGGATGTTTTGAATCTTATACATCTGGATACCAAGTCTAGCTAAAATGCTAAAAAATCTAACAACTGAGATAGTGTATGTTGTCTCCAAGCCGAATTTGCGTCCACGCTTCATAGGCCGTTCATGTTCGTATCAAAGAGAGGCCTTGCCTATACGCTAAATATTCCGCGCAAGCTGCAAAAACACTCAATGTTTTACTTTGACTTTAAAGCCGCATCATGATCACTTTTTGTGGACCGGGAGACACTTGCACCTAGGATAGGGACTTCCTGGTTAGAAGAATTTTTATAAGAGCTCTACGTAGTTATTTAGTCGAAGCTGATTGTACTCCACCTTCCAAAGTCGTTTACCGACCGATTTAGTCGAGTCGAGGTGGTTTATGCTCCTAAAACTGAGCCAAAGCTGTCCATGACTGCTCAAGAGCGCACTGCACCTCTTCGACGATCGCGCGGAGTTTATTCTCTCAGCCACAGAATGATCCAATACTCTCTGCATTCAAGCGATAGACTCCCGGAGCACGTTACCTCCGAACTTCCCCTTTATGGGCCTGATCCATAAATACACCGGCCTCCGCCGGCGTTACTAGACGAGTAAGGGAACTTACAGGTCCACGTGGAGAAGCTCCTGAAGAAGCATCGCCAAAAATGTCCTTACTAGTACATGGTGAAGTGGTGGGGGCATTTTAGGTCTGAGAAGTCATGAAAGGTTGAGGTGCTTATTTTAAAAGAATATCCGTACGCGGATATCATCATAAGCGTCGTATTGAGGGTCAGTCTAAGCCTAACGCGCTTCTTGTCAGTGAGTGTGGTGGTGTAAGGGTTGCTAACCACATAAGAGTGGATTGCGACTGTTTGTTCATTTGAAAAGTTGGAGAGCTGTCCAGCAATTGGGATTGCGCATTGGGCACAAAAGAGTGATCGTAGTTGGCCTTTGGCCTTCAATTTATCAAACGCTTATCACATTTTGCGCTTAAAAACAACAGCAACCTCTGACGCAAGAGCTAAAGGGCTCATATGCTGAGAAAGCAACGTGCTCGATGGTCATAACGAATGAAGGTGGTATTGTCTTTAGCCTTAATCTCCTCAGGGTCCAAAAATCAATTTTAATAGTCAATTCAGTAGGTTCAGAGACACCGCGTCCTCTTTTCGCCAGCTTGGTCTGGTATTTGTGAATCGTCATCATTTTTGGAGTCAGGTAATTCCCTATGCTATCAATTCATTGAAAAATGTCAACGGACAACTTAGCCTCGGGTCTTGCGGGCCATTTGTGGAAAGGCTTTACTGCAAACTTTTAAACGACACGTCAACGCCCAAGGGTTCAAGGCGATAGTTCGATTGCGCCTCGGTAACAGTTTATGTATGAGGTGGACGTCTGCAATTATTATTATCGTCGGTAACAGTTTATGTATGAGGTGGACGTCTGCAATTATTATTATCGTCGGTAAAGTACTGTTATTGCTCAATGAGATTGTTTTAATGATTAGTTCACTAAGAGAAGAGAGTTGATTCACGCAGCGCTTTTGGCGCTTGATGTTTACTTCGTTCGAGTGATGATTTCGGTTCTTCGCGCGAGGGTTCACGCGACACTAGAGCATAATGTTAATGATCGATAAGCCTCAACAAGAACGTGTCGTTGTAGTATTCAACAATGTACTCCTCTCTCAGGATGTCTTCCAAGCACCCAAATGATTAAGAAGACTTTGCTTTTTATGTGTCAGGTGTCGTGAACACAACTGTGCAGTTTGCTACTTTCACCGTGTCCTCGTTGAGAAAGGTGAATGATGTTGATTCAGGGATCCGGTAATTTGGTGGGGACATGTGTAATGGGGTCACACATGCAGTTCATTTAATATATATGGTGTCGTATGAATCCGACATAAAGAGCACTGTGAAAGTGATTGGCGTATAATTGTACCCAATACGCTGAGAGAGTATACCAATCATTCTAATTACGGCTAGATGTCATTTATCGTAAAATTTATTCTGAGGACGTCTTTGCTTTAGTGTGGTAACATAAGAAAGACCTATATTCGGGTATTTGGAATAGATTATATAATAGAAGGTTAAATATGTAGATGATTTTAAATATCGCCATAAATTAGAAGATAGATTTTGTCACTCTGTTAAAGTAACATGTCGAGCTAAGACAAATCTAATCGTACGAGTTAAGAGACTGCATTGATACTAGCATTCTTTATCAGTTAAGGCGAGATCGGTTAGATATTCTGGACCCCACAATTATCTTCTTTGGTAGGGTTTCCGCATTCCTTGACCGGCTCGCGGCTATCTCGCCGCGCGAAAGGCCTTTTGCTAGCCGAATTTTTTGGGTGTCAATCATTCCCTGAGACCCCCGACTTTTATTGTCAGGTGTTCGTACTTCTTCGAAGGCTAAATCTCAGTAATAATAAGATTTCCAAGTGGTAACATTGAGACTGAGGTGGCTGCGCACACTCTTAATAACCTTGGTGTTTTTAAAAGTCCGTGGAAGGGTTTGAACCCAGGCCACGTGATTGGACTAATACTGGACTGCCATAGCACAGAGCGGGAACCAATACGGCTAGTAACTTTGATCATTAACATCACGTGATTCCCCGGATTTATTAATTTCCTGAAACAGATCTAGAAGCTTGCGACAGTGCAAGGAGTGAAAACTGGTACTGAGAAACTTAACCTTTAATGCGACTTGAAATTTTTAAGAATGAATATCTGGGCGCTACCCGCCGCGCTTAACTTACTCGTTATCTTTTCACACATGTACGCACATCGTATTACCTTCGTCACTTGAGGTCTTGATTTGCCTTCAATCTAATCCCACTTCTGTGATGTCGATTTCTCTTGCAATCGTAGGCCCTGCTCGGCGTGTTGACTCCAGTATCGGCAATCGTATTTGAAACACTGTAGCTTCACATGACCATGCAAAAATCGTGGGTAAAATGACATCTTCCTAGCAATAATTCTCCTGGATTAATATGCCGGGAATGCTGGATGAGACCTAATGACTGCCGAAGACGAGTGAAGACTACAGACCAGAAGTCCCTGGCGAATATATTGTTAATTTTGTTTGCTGATACACACCATTCAGTCTCGATCCGACCGTTTTTCATGCTCGTCACGAATAAAGTGGAACTGAATGAAAATGTGTTTTGACGCTTTTGATTACACCTTGTTCTTGATGCTCTGTGTGGCACTTCTGTTGTCGGTCTAGAGCTGTGGTGTGATTACAATAATAAAAAGTGTTGAAAAAGTTGGCGAATTTAGCCGCACTCAAATTTCGCTTGAGATTCCGCGATAAATTTAGCCTCCGTAGTTAAAAGTGCCATTAAAGGTTGTTTTCGACATGACTTAGTCGATGGTCGCCTGTTGACAGTAAGCAAAGAATCACTGAATAAATTTATGTCGAGCTTATCTCTTGCTTAAAACACTTAGATCTAAGTCTTAATTGAGTCTTTGGAGACTTGATACCCTTTGAATTAATACCCGTATTGATAATACACTAAGGGACCCTACGAGTATAAAATTCTTCTTATGACAAAGGAGTAGGGGTAGCTTCGCTTTATCACATGTCAAACACATGGAACGTGTTTGTTGCTGGATGGTGACAATCGGTTGTGCCATTTGCAGCCCTAGCTCGCACTATCACACTAAATAAGCGAAACTTATACCTCTCATGGACACGACAGCGCATTAACCTTGCGCGAGTGCAATACCTTTTAGTGCTTGTACAGCCTTTTTTCTAGCAGTCAATCTTTTCGTCTATAAGCCTTCCGTAATGCCTGCTAATGTTGGTTCGGGAAGTGCTAGACCTAGTTGGCTACCAGTCATGTATCAAGTTCCACTATTCTCCCTACCGTTAGATTTGTCTGTGTTTCAGTATTGAAACTGAGAAAAAAGGAGTCGAGACTATGTGACGTTTTTTTCCTCCGAAATTTTACTTCTTACTCCATTTCTTTCTCGTGTCCAAAAAGCGTCTTACGTTCTCTTGTGTTCCCGGCGCTCGACAGCTTGAATTCATACCGTGAACCTCAAGTGAGTTAAGTAGGCACATGGAGCGTGAGTCTGCTGGAATAGATTTGCTTGAAATGTGACAAACTTCCTTCAATGGAAACAGGTCATGATAAATAGCTGCAGATTGGTCTAATCTATAATATACGCTTTGCTTTAAATGCGACGAACTGTCATAAATAGCTTCAAAACGCGTTAAATAGCTTCATTTAGTGGCATAATTTTCGATCTTTGTAATTTACAAGATAGGGATAAAGCTCTGGAGCTCGCCCTTTATATATGTGATTCAGTTTTATAGGACTTAATCAAGTTGCAAAACACTGTACAACAGCAGCCGTCACTGAAGAAGAAGTATGATGACGATAACGTCTGTTTGAACCCAGCATCACATACGTGGGTAACGCAATCAGCCTTTTCTTACTCGCGTCCAGCATTTGCTCATGTCATCATATTCATCCGTAATAGATTTGAAGCCAATCACGTGCATGTATCACAATATTGACCTGCCCAAAGAGAAGCTTACGCGCATCAAGTACGATCTAGCCTGTCCCCCCTATAGGTTATAGAAATGCCTATAAACCTATAGGGGGGACAGGCTAGATCGTACTTGATGCGCGTAAGCTACACCTAACCGCGTTTAATACAGACACGCACTGAGACACGCGCACAAATAGTTCTCAATTTGCTTCTGAGTACCTAATCGGTTACTATAACCAAATAGCTTCCACCACTGACAATGCCGAACACCGCTAATTCTGATGTGACGCCTGCTAACGTGTCGAATGGTCTGGCTACGGGTACCGTGGCTTGTTTAAAGCCCCACTGTTAGCGGATGTGCCCCTTCTTCTTCATCCAGGTTGGTAGGGGCGGGATTGGCCTCACAGACATCTGCATCGACGGACTCAGCTCGCTCTAGTCCGTTACCACCTATGGGCTATGCATCGCTGCTCCGGGACGGGGTCGGTAAGACCAAGAAAGGCAAACCTGCCTCTACAGTGTACTTCGACATCGCTAAGACGTCCGATAGTGACCTCCTGGCGATGAACTGGCTCTATGATGATGGGGCTGATCGTGACATAATTCTGCGCAAACGACGTGCCTTGAGTTCGGGTGTAGCACATGTTTTTCCGCACTCGGTGGACTAAGAGGTGGCGCCTGTATCGTAAAAGGCGGTCACCTTTAAGTTAATTGCCTCTTTTTTAGTGAATATGGGAATGCAAAGGTCGAGAAGGTGCTTGGCAGCGGCCAGATTAATGTGCTTGAACAGACCTCAAACGGTTCAATTTCGATCGGATATAAGTCGCTTGAGATTAAGCGATCTTTGGCGGGGGATCAGGTGACTCTACTTGGTCATCAAATTGCTTTCAAGGAAAGCAGTGCCCTCCCTACTCGACACTACGTCAAGGTTTCCGGTGTATCGGGGTCAATGGCACCGGAGATTTCTTTGATCTTCTCCGTTCTCGGGGCGCCTCGCTCTTATTTTGTGCTCAATGGGGGGATAGCCAAGGTACAGCGCTTTAATGGGACAAGTACGGATCTTGTAACGGGGTGAATCGTTAAATTAACAATTTATAAGAAATTGTTAATAGAATATAACTATAAGAGTTATATTCTCGGAATATTGTCATAAGGACAAATATTCTGTAGCACTTACGAGTTGTTCCTAATTGGTTGATATAGGCTATTATATCAACCAACGAAGACGCGCCACGACAGACGCACGCAATGAGTGGTGAGCAGATAACTGATTTACACATTTGTATTTAGACATAGTTAGATGAAGATAAATAGTGATTTATTGCAGACATTAACTATTATAAATACAGTTCTACTTTTTACTCTAACCAAGTACTCGCTTCTTCTTACCGTCTTCCTCTGCACGTACCAGTGTACGTGAAGTTACGAGGCACCGCCTTATTCTGTCATCAGAATAAGTAGCTTGTACTGTCACCAGTACAAGCTTCAGGGTGCCCCGTTACACCTGGTAGCACTTCGTAGTCCGTCCAAGGACCGCGTTCACATCCAACATGAATATGTTGGATGATGAAGATGACCAAAGCTTTCACGCTACGCGTGACGGCTACTCCCATTTGAGCGATGTCGAATGGGATGCGGTTGAACGAATGGGTTCGACCATGGGCATCCATGATGTTAGCGTCATGCTAGAGGCTCTCAATAGAGATGCCCAACATGCTACTATCGCCAAGTTCATTCAAAATGGACTTGACGCTGAACGCGAGAAAGTATCCTTGCTTCACCAACAAGGTTCTCAACAAGCAGAGTTGTTGAGAGAACAAGGTGCTCAACAGTTTGAACCGTTGAGACAGCATCAGGCTGCTGCTGGCGGGTCGATGCACTCGCGTCGACCCGAGACTTTGAAGATTGACATCTCAAAGTATAGGGGGGTCGAAGAAGACTCCCTCTTGAGATGGTTCGTCGAATTGGATGACGCCATAAGGGCGCGTCGCATCGACGACGGGGATATGCAAGTTGCATTTGCCCAGTCAAATCTGGCAGGACGTGCCAAGACTTGGGCACTGGGGCTCAAGTTGCACGACCCGTATGCGTTTGGGTCGTTGGAAGTCTTCAAGTCACGGCTCAGACAAACGTTTGAACCGCCTAGAGCTGAGTTCAGAGCTCGAACCGAACTCTTGAAGCTCAAACAGGGTAAGCGTGATGTGCACGCTTACGCTCAACATATACGACATCTTACGAGTTGTATAAGTTCCAATCCGGTGGATGAACACACGTTGGTTTCGGTGTTCATGCAGGGTCTTGCGGATGGTCCCGTCAAGACTCACCTGTTCCGGCTTGAACTAGATTCACTAGAACAAGCCATTTCCATTGCGGAGCAGGAAGACTTCAGTCTGAGACAGGCTCGCGCCAGCTCGACATCATATCGTAAACCGAGACGATATGACAACGGAGATCCAGAGCCGATGGAACTCTGTTATGTAGAGAGCGAGAAGGCTCGCTCTACAGGCTACAAGAAGTTGCAGAGATGCAACAGATGTCAAAAGACAGGACACTACGCTTACGAGTGTAGTGCCCCTCGTCCAGTATCTCGCGACACTGGGCGTAGTGACCGTCCACCCATGAGAAAGGGGCAGGGACGAGGGTCCGCTGTTGGTGCAAAGACGCAACAACGGGATGGACCGTCAAAAACGGACAGGATCAGTAGGTGCGGAGCACCCTACTGTTCCAGCAACGTCAAGAGAATTTGTAGGCCTCTTGATGAAGGTTGCTCCCAACACACAAACGTTGTGCGTTGCTGCTCTAGGTAATGAGGTCTCACTCATTACCTTGAAACTCGAAGTGACGAATAAGTTGTCCCTTCGAGCTCTAGTCGATTGTGGGGCGTCCAACAATTTTGTGCGACGCAAATCGCTAGAAGATGGTCATTTTAAGTTTGTTGAATGTGACACACCTCCTACGAGGATGACAGTACGTCTTGCGACAGGCGCATCCGTAATCGTCATAAAGCGTATAGTGAAGATCCACTATACGCTAGAAGATACCCAATATGATGATGACTTTATCGTATTGGATTTGGATGACAAATTTGATGTCATCCTTGGAATACGTGGCTCAGAAGGTACGAACCACGGGTAAACTGGCAACATCGAATAGTAACGATGCCTGCCGCTTGTTCATCAGATGGCCATCTGATGAACGTTTTGGAGCGTCCACAAGCGTGTGGATGTACTACGAGTGAGTGCAATGGCCTCACTTGTGGTACAGTCGTTAGTACGACTGCACAAAACCTTAGTGTACCAAACGGTTACACTTCGGAGCAAAGTTCCGGCGGCTGTGAGGAAACACAGGCTGCGCCGAAGGTCCACCACTCGAATAAGTCGGGTGGACTGGGACAAAGATGTATCCCTAGCGGGGAACATCTAGAAGAGAAACAATCGATCGCTCAGGTTAAGCGAAACGATAATCCTAGATCGACTGGAGAGTCTTTCGTAGAGGATCTCGCTGTGGTTGCGCAACCCCAGCTAGAGGAAGTAAAGGGAATAAGTCCAGATATTACAGATACGGCGGAAATAAGTTCCCCGAAACCCGCGGGAATAAGTCCCCGGGAAGCCGAAGGAATAAGTCCTTCGAAGCCTGAGGGAATAAGTCCCCAGGAAATGACAGAGACATTGAATGTCATAGTCAATAACGGATCAAGTGTAGGCGCTTATACACTTGATCTGATTGCGCCTCCGAAGTTAACTTCGGAGATCACTCAGTTGCCAACGCTCGAACATAAAAGGTTCTTGCGTGATCTTCGTAGTGGCAAAGTCAAGCAGATCTGCATACTCGTCGCTGACGACGAGTGTGTAACCGACATAAGGTCAGCAACAGTGTTCACTGAGAACGAGAGAGTTCTCAGTAGTTCATCTATGGACGAGAGTGTCCTAGATGAAAAGACACGAATTGAGCGATATGACTCCCAATCGTGGGAATCGCTCAAGAAAAATCCTCTCTATGAAGATTTGGTTGAATTCAAGGATGTATTCCCTGAAACTGTTCCGTGCGAATTACCGAAGGATAAAGGTATTCGACACGAGGTCGAGCTTAAACCAGGCTCGAAGTACTGTGTCATGAAGCAGTGGCCACTGCCTCGTGAACAAGTACTTGCGATCGACAAGTTCTTTGCCGATCGTTTAGCTGCGGGCCATGTGAGGGAATCAACTTCCCCACATAGCTCTCCGACCTTCTGTGTGCGAAAAGCAACAGGAGGGTGGCGGATAGTGCACGCGTTCAACAAATTGAACGCTGCAACGGTACCGGCTCAGACGCCGATACCGAGGAAGGACGTAATCATTGATGGTATGTCAAAGAGTACCATCTTTTCGTCCATGGATTTGATGGATGGCTTCTATCAAATCCTTATGCGGGAACGGGATATACCCTATACCGCAGTTAGCACGCCTAGCGGCATGCTCTGGGAATGGCTAGTAATGCCACAAGGGCTCAGTAATGCCCCTGCCACGTTCAACAGATGTGTATCACATCTGTTGAGACCAGTACGAGAATTCGCGCCGAGTTATTTCGATGACGTATTCATCCATAGTCGAGCTATGGATGGAAAGTCGGACGTTGAGGTTCACAGGTACCACGTCCGACAAGTTCTTACAATCATGCGAAAGCATCAATTGTATGCTAACCTCAAGAAGTGTATATTTGCAGCAAGCGAAATACCACTTCTTGGGTGCATCGTTGGTAAGAACGGTGTACGTCCTGATCCCGAAAAGATCAAGGCGATCACCGACTGGCCTGTGCCGGTTGATGTCAAAGGTCTTCGAAAATTCCTTGGGCTAGCGGCGTATTTGCATAAGTATTCACGCAATTACGCCGAGATGACTGTGCACCTCTCTCGTTTGTTGAAAAGAACGAGAGGTGGTTATGGAACGCTGAATGTCAACGCTCCTTTGATGGTATCAAGCAGAGCTTGATACAATCCCCAGTCCTAGCAATAGCCGATCAAGACAGGCCATTTCATGTGGTCTGTGATGCCAGCGATTTTGCAATCGGCTGTGCATTAATGCAGTACGATCTTGAAGGCGTTGAACGCGTCGTCTGCTATCAGTCGCGTCAGCTGCAACCAGCTGAGCGGAACTATCCAGTGCATGACAAGGAACTCCTTGCCATGAAGTATGCACTCGCGAAGTTCAGAGTCTATCTATTAGGAGATAGACCCTTCATTGTTTACACTGACCATGCGTCATTACGCACGGCAGTGAACAGCCCGCACCTTTCACAACGAATGGCGCGGTGGTTGTCATTCTTTGCGGAATACAACTTTACGGTCGAGTACAAACCAGGACGACTTAATGTCGTCGCTGATGCACTCTCACGTCGTCCCGACTTTGAAACAGTCGCGAAACCCAACAGTGAGACAGTCACTGTTGCGGTTATGACGTCCTCAGTCCCATCTACAACGTTGTATGATGATGTGAGGCGGGCATACGCCCAAGATGGTGAGATTGTGAAGTTGTTGACACATCTCTCCCAACCATCCCGAGAATCGTTGAAACGATTGTCGCCTGCGTATCGATCTGCATCAGATCGATACACTACTCGTAACGGTTTACTGCATTATACAGCCGTTTCTGGTGACACACCACGTGTTGTCATTCCAGATGATACTGATCTGCGTTTGCGGATCATGTTCGAGTATCACGATGCTCCTATAGGAGGACATCGTGGCCGAGAGAAAACATATCCTCACGGTAAGTCGAGACTTTTACTGGCCCCGCCAGTATCAGTTTGTGCGAAAGTATGTTCGCGCATGCGAAGTCTGTCAACGAGTGAAGTCAAGTCCTTCACTGCGTGCACCTTTACAGCCTCTACCGGTTCCGGCTGAGTGCTGGGAATCCATCTCAATGGATTTTGTCTTCGGGTTACCCAAAGACGCACGCGGGAATACGGGTATTCTCGTATTTGTTGACAGATTCAGCAAAATGGTACACCTTGTGGCTGTACCAGAGACAATCACGGCAAGTGGCTGTGCTTGTGTCTTTATTGACACCATCTTCCGACTTCATGGGTTGCCCCGTGAACTCGTATCAGACAGAGATCCACGATTCACTGCTGATTTCTGGCGTTCCGTGTTCAAATCACTCGGAACGCGCTTGAAGATGTCGACATCTGATCATCCAGAGTCAGATGGTCAGACGGAACGTGCCAATCGTGTCCTTGAAGAGATACTTCGAGGATACGTACACTCCTTTAAGAGTTGGAGTGAGTTTTTGCCAATGGTAGAGTTTGCCATCAACAACTCGGTGCATGCGTCCACGACACATACACCGTTTTACGTGAATGGCTTGCGCCATCCGCGTGTACCCACCTTACTAGAGTGTAACTCTGGTTTAAGGGGGGGAGGGACTCGCGCGAGCAAAAACCGATTTGGTTCACGCTCATCACGCTCTGACGAAGAGGTCATTGCGTTTGATGCCGATATCGATAACATCGATATCGAAGAAGATGATGCCAGTGAGAGTGCGGAAGCCCTCACTGAAGAAGATGATCCCAGTGAGAGTGCGGAAGCCCTCACTGAAGAAAAGGTTGATGTTGCTGCAGTGCGCTCACAGCACACTGAAGCTAACGAGTCATCAGATGAGTTCATACTGGCTCGTGAAACGGTAGTCCGTTTTGTGCAAGACTCCATCGCCGAAGCGGTGGATAAGCAAAAGCAAAACGCTGACAAGAATGGAAGGGCAAACACTCTTTTATTTAATAAAGGTGACTTAGTCCTACTGTCTACGGTTAATCTACCAAAGCATGTAGTGACTAACTTGGGTAGCAGTAAACTACTACCCAAGTACATCGGCCCATTTCGTGTATTGCACCGCCTAGGCAATGCATACACGATCGAGTTACCACGTAAGATGCGAACGCATCCCACGTTTTACGTTGGTCGGCTTAAGCCGTACCATCAGTACGCTGCTTCTTCCGATGAAGAACGCCCTTGCGCTCAAGCATCTCGCAGAGAGCCTTGTGCTCCCGATGGTGGGCATCAACAAGGGTCTGAAGAGCAGCTATCTCATCCCGAGACCGATCAACAATCCCACGAGCTACCCTTAGCTCGTCACGAAGAGATGTCAGAGATCTCTCGTTCTCGAGCTGAGCAAAGGCAAACTCAGCTCGATGCTTCGAGGCAGTGTCCGCCATTTGGAGACGCCTATTCCGCTCATGTTCGAGATCGTCGCGTAACCCTTGCGTTACGCGATCAAAAAAGCTCTCGGGAACACACCGATCCACATGATCGTGTGGAGAGCGTCTTTCCTCCTCCTCCACCTCCATTAGAGGACTCTCGCGGTGGCCAGCGCTATCTAGTTGAGCAGCTGTTGAACCACCGCGACGTGAACGGACGTCGGACGAGTTATCTCGTCCGGTGGCGCGGCTATCCCCCGTCCTGGGATTCTTGGGAGCCCCGCTCCCAACTGATGATCGACGTACTGGGTCTGGTTGAGCAGTACGACGCGGCACATCCTGTGCCGCAGAAGGACCGCCGGAGAAAGTCTTCCCGGCACGGTCGTAAAGGGATTTCAGGTTGTCAATCCCTTCGTACATCTCAGTAGAGACACGTACGCGCCACCACGGGCTGGTAAGGAGGTAAGCCTCCTTAGGTGCTCGTGCAGAGTTGTTCACACAACATGGGCACGAGTCTCCCCAAGAGAGGCAGGGTAATCCTTTCTCCCTTGACAGACGATGCAGCTTGTAGCGTGCACCTGTCGGGGTTCGCTTTTCAAACTTATCACGAGCTTTGATAAGTTTGTCGTTCCAAGCGTCACGACCTACATCCTCGAGGTTATGGATGTAGGCGTTCCACGCCTGAAGTAGTGAGGGACCATCACGTTTGTGATTCCCACTGTACCATCGATGTCTAAAGAAAGCATCGATGAAGAATTCATGTTCAGCGCGATAGTTTTTCGCGCTGGGGTCAAGGTGATGGATCCTTGACGAATCGAACAATCGTGTTCGATAACGATCACTCGTCGTCGCCGACAAGTGATCCATGACTGATTTAGGAGGCATCCATGCCTTCTTCTCGGGAGCGAGACGCAACACATTGCGGTCCCGCTCTTCCTGCGACGTGCCGACAGAAGTACTGGCACCTCGCTGTGAAGTGGTGTCCATAGGAGAACCGACACCACTATTAGCGCCCGAGTCTCGCGACCTCGAGCGCCTTCGCTTCGGCGATGGTTCATCTGATTCATCAGATGAACCAAAGATGCTGCGACGCAAAGCATCGTCCATGCCACGCTTGGCAGGCGGCTTAGATTCAATCGCCGTCGATACGGATCCGTCATCCGTATCAGGAGAGTACGAGACACCGAGCTCGTACTCTGTGAAGACACGAGTGTCTTCATGACCAGCGCCTGCATCACCAAGTGACACAGGCTGGGTCGCTTCAGCAACCGATGAGACATCAGTTGCTGTTGTTTCTGCTTCGGCGTCCGCACAGAGACGTGCAGACGCGCTCTCGGCGGCCTTGCTCGCGCATCGCATGGGCTTGTTTACCATGCGATGAAATGTTGGAAAGTGGACGCGGACCAACAAGTGCAAACCCTGTCCCAAATGATTTGGGACGAGTATCCATTTAGTCAATCAGTCACTAAAGTGACTGATGGTTAAGGGGGGGGGTGATGTAACTGGGTGAATCGTTAAATTAACAATCTATAAGAAATTGTTAATAGAATATAACTATAAGAGTTATATTCTCGGAATATTGTCATAAGGACAAATATTCTGTAGCACTTACGAGTTGTTCCTAATTGGTTGATATAGGCCATTATATCAACCAACGAAGACGCGCCACGACAGACGCACGCAATGAGTGGTGAGCAGATAACTGATTTACACATTTGTATTTAGACATAGTTAGATGAAGATAAATAGTGATTTATTGCAGACATTAACTATTATAAATACAGTTCTACTTTTTACTCTAACCAAGTACTCGCTTCTTCTTACCGTCTTCCTCTGCACGTACGAGTGTACGTGAAGTTACGAGGCACCGCCTTATTCTGTCATCAGAATAAGTAGCTTGTACTGTCACCAGTACAAGCTTCAGGGTGCCCCGTTACAGATCTACCTCCTTCCTAGTTTGAGGCCTCCTTAACTGAATGCTGACGGTTAGGCGGTGGCCTAGTTCGTTTTTCGTGGATTAATGTACCCCGTGGGCCATCGTGATACTCCAAGTATTCAACCTCAGGCGCCCGATCATCGACGATCGCGATACTTCTTGGACCTCATCCACCTGGCTTTTAAAGCTACAGCTAAAAACACCCGGGCCGTTGGAAAGTCTATCGGTTCAGTAGTCAAGCGTGGAGTTTCTGATACTACAGGTGGTGAATCAATGGCAGACTTTGGGGGCAACTTGCATGGCAAAACCTTGCCTATGTCTCCACCAGTGCCATTTGGCGCGTCGTCTCTAGAGCCAGTGTTCTCTTCTCCTTCAGTCGCTAGGCCCACTGTACCAGCTGTCAACCTCTCAACCGGCGCTAAATGAGTTCCAATCTCAACGGGGCCGTAGATGTCACCATGCTCGGACTGGCGAGGCTACAGAACGATCGTGGCGCACGCCAAATTATTAGAATGCTCTTGCCACTCTCGATGCGCAGCTTGATGTCTACAATCGACAGCTGACGACGACTACTCTGCTAATCAGCTCTGGATCGTTCCGACACGTGTTTCACCGTCGAATAATCCAGCTTCTGCGGCTATCTGCGCTAAATCGGTTAAAGTTGACGGCCTCGCTGTCCGTGCTGATTGTGATCAGACGGTAGGTGATATTTTCACGAACTCAGATCGGATATGATCGCTCAGCAGTCCCTGAAGAAGAGCTTCGTATACCTTCAGGCAAAACTCGAGCACGAATTCAAAAGACTATGTATTCTTCTGGTGATACAGACAAATTATTAAAGGCACTTCGGGATGAACCGGGCGCCAGCCGAAAAGTGTTTGCTGACCTAATGCAGACAGAGATTAAAAGCGTTCAGCTTAAAGGTCTCATTTACCTCCTTCTAGTGTAACGACTCGTCTAAACTTCTGATGCTGACGGTTATCAGCCTTTTTTGTCGGCTTGTACGCCTTTTGGTCTACCTGGTCATCGTACAGGCCTCTTTCAAACTTCACGGGCACTCTGCCAACTGTATGGCAACGAAAATCGTGAGTTGGTTGATACGTCCGCGCATTAGCCTTTTTCGAATTGTTCTTGCTGGCGTCCGCACCAACGATCATGGGGAGTGACGCATGGTTGTCCATTGGCTGTGGCTATTCTATTTAGTGGATCAGTACTCATCCAATTTTCTCCTATCAATTGATGTACTGCAGTATCTCCTCAAATCTCCTCTCGGTGAACGAATTGTCGACCGTTGTAATTGTTTTGGCTATACTGGATCAGTACTCTGCTCTCTTGTTGATTTGCGTGCTTCGAGTACGACCAATGATGCTGACAAAATTTCCTTTCGGCTCGTCTCTACGACAGATGGGGTCCACATAGCAGCCTGATCATTGCAATCCGTCGTTCCTCGTTCACGCCGGTTCTAATGGAGAGCTAAGGTGGTGTCACCTTGGTCTAATATTCGGTTTCTAACTGCTTCCATCAATGGAGTCAAACGCAACGGTAATCTTACTGTCTCGTCACTAATCGTTCCGTACGATCTCGTGTATTTTGAGGAGACCAAATTCCATAGTCTGGCCCAGCGTAACGAGTTTTTGTACCGCGTTGCAAGGCAGAGTCACCACCTCTGCTTTTAATCAGACTTCTAGTCTCTCGAGGACTCTACGATCATTAACACTCTTCGTGCAGGGGTGATGACTATTCTCTCTTCCCGATTTCTCGGTTCATCTGCTGCTCATATTATATTGTCCAAGACTATCTCCGGAAGATGTCTCGTCGTAGCCATGCAAGTCGGTGACGTCTCTTAAATCATACACCATGTCCATGCTCCTTGCGCCAATAATGAGAGACGGCGTTTTATGTGGCTCTTTACAGCCTCTGTACCCTGAGAGGGTACGCCACATAATTCTTGGGGTCTTTAACTTGCCATAAATTGTCTCGATGGACTTTAAGTCGGGTGAGACGCGAGGCAGCGGAGCTAGAGCCTACCTCTAACGCTGGTTGTCTTTACTTAGAGTGGGTGATGATTGGCTCCGTCATCATCCTGGTGATCGAGTGTTTACCGGCCCAGTACCGCGCATGAATATTCTTGATTATATTTCTTGGATGACCGGCTTCTGGATCATCATTACTCGGCTTCTTTGTATTTTTAGCACACTCACGGTGGTGGTGAACATCTTCTACACAGGGTACACCTGAATACGACGAAAATAGCCTAGGGATCAGGATACTGGAGTTTCCCAAGCAAATTTCTTTGTAATCCTGCCGTTGTGGTTGCCATTGAGTTTGAGGTATCTCAAGTGTGTGCTACCATACGTACGGCTACAAACCCTGGACTCTTGTGGGAAGGCTGGAAGCGTAAAACTCGTAAAGCATTGCAATATTTGGAATTCAGGCTTCGACATGAGCGTACTCGCGAGCTTCTTAAGGCTTGTAACCTTGTTTTCTTCGATCAGGCAGAATACATACCCAAACCCAGCATAGAGGGTCGTCTACAGCTTGAACGGGCGCAGTCTGTCCTTAGCTTCCAGCAACAGCAATTTAGTGAGATCCACCAGGAGGCGGGGTTCGATACCCATACGCGGCAGTTTTTTACAACCTTCATGTTCGGATCTCCTCCGTG